ATCTTTAAATACATAAGATAAAATACTTAGAATTACAAAGGAAACCAATTATATTGAAATTATCAAAATATTTTGAAATAACAAGATCCCAGTTATGAATCGCAATAGAATCTGCTTCATTTTCTAGCTATCCAGAGGTCCAGAATCTTGAAGAGATTTGCCCAACTTCTCACAGATGACCTTAGAATAGAGCCAGTATTTAAACTTAAGTTCATAGATTTGTGGTCTATGAGTTGGAAGGCCCAGAGTTGGAAGGGACCTCAGAAACCATCTAATATAACTTATTTTTAAAGTTGAAATAACTATGATCAGATGTGAGACTTAAACCCAGTGCTCTTTTCCAATACGCAGGTCTGTTTTTAAATTAGTTGAATTAATGTACAATTTAATGTGCCTTAAACCGAAGTCTTAATATGTTAACTTGCTGAAGTTTTCATGATAATAGAAGAATTGTCATACAGGATCACACAAAAAGTCACCCTTTCCTCTCCAAAATAAAGGCCTTGGTTTTGGTATTGGATTAAAAAAGACACAAAATCCTCAAGAGAAAGAATTTTTTTTGAATCTTCTACACTTGTACCTCATTTGTATATCATCCATATCTGTAGCATATTTGTTCTGGGTTGCATCTTATTTTTTGACAGTCTCATTAAACAACCGCTGGGAAAATGTTTAAGAGACCGAGAGCTGGCTGTACAAAGCAAATCTTTAGTCTGGAGCGCCCTCCCGTGTTCATTCTGCTAATTGCAAAGTCAGTACAAGTAAATGTCTTTCCTTTTCTCAGGTGATTGTGCACACCCATTTATCAGTCAGCTCTTCTGTTTGACTTGCTCCCAGTCATGCCTGTAGATTTTTCCAAACTGTTCAGTTTCACTCACCCAGTTCCTTCTGTGGTTGGTGATTTGGGAGAGAGAGTTGGTCAAAATCATGCATGACTTTAAAAGGTGGTCCAGGGGGATAACATCTTGTTCTTTTTCCTTCTTTTGCAAAAAACAAATACTCTTTTGAAGCAAACCCACTGCTTTAGCACCATACTCTAACAGAACTAATCATCTAAGCAATTACAGTGATCCGGAGACAGTGGTTTCCTTGTATATTGCCTTATTCTCCATCTAGCTCCACAAAATTACAAATTTGTACATTTAAGGGATATATTACACAAAGCTCTTTTTTGCGTACTACATTACCTAGTTGTTTGCTTGTTTGTTTGTTTTTTTGGTGAATTTCTAATATTTTTTAATTTTAAAGAATCCTTGAACACTTTTTGTAGCTTATTATCCTTCCCGATCAGCAATAAAGTAAACAGTTATTCTGAGTGATTTTAGGTTTGAAATCACTTGCTTAGTCCAGTTTGTCTATGAAACCAAATTAATTTTTTAAAAAGTCATAGAAATTAGAAATTTTTTTTTTTTTTTTGGTGAGGCAGTTGGGGTTAAGTGACTTGCGCAGAGCCACACAGCTAGTGAGTATTATGTGTCTGAGCCTGGATTTGAACTCAGGTCCTTCTGACTCCAGGGCTGGTGCGCTATCTGCTGTGCAAGAAATTAGAATTTTGAGCTTTAAAAGTATCTCAGACCTTGACTAGTCCAACCCCCTCATTTTACAAATCAGTAAACTGAGGTCAAGAAATGGGATGTTTGAAAAGTTTGAGACATAATTTTGGGTAATTAATCATTTTATTAATAATTCCCCATTTTATTAATAAAAGAGGTCAGTGGCACTCTTGAATGCCAAAGACCACATTATGGCTTATATGACCTTGGAATAGTAGGTGTTCCTGAGAGTAGCAATCAACTCTGATCAGTTAACAATTAATAAGAGAATGACTGTTACAATAAGGGGCTGAACCCATTCTAATGAACTTTGATTATGTCATTTACTTCTAAATTGTTCAGTCTTGGGTAATCTATTCAGAGAATTTATCCTCCTCCCCTCCCAAATCTGAGTAGAGAGCAATGGGCTTCCCAACCTTAGATTAAATTTTTTGTAAGGTTGGGTGGGGTTTGACCATGATTGAGGAGAAAGTTAATTCCTGTAGAAGACGACTTTGGATCTCCCCAAATCATTGGTTATTAATCACTTTTCTCAGAAATATAAGGAAACTTAGCATATGTTACACATTTACAGACCCAGAATTCCAACCGAAGTCTCCTGATTTCTGGTCTAACGTTCTCCCTACTACATCATGTTGCTTCAGTAGGTTTTTTAAATACTTAAATAGGTGATGCTACCTATATTCTTCCTTTTAATCTCTACAATAACTCTGTAAGGTATTTGATACACAGATCATTCCTATTTTACAATTAGGGTCCTCTCTGAGATTCCTGGATAATGTGACTTGCCCAAGGTTACAGAGGAAGTCAAGGGCCAAAACATGATGTTGAGACTCAGTTTCCTCCTTCGTAAAATGGTAGTTCTAATACTTGCAGTGCCTGTCTTATGGGTTTGCTGTTGTGAATGTGATTTGCAAACCTTAGATCACTTATGAATGTGAATTTTTGCTATTATTATTTTAAGTAACTACAAGACAGCATGAAATAAGTTCCATCAGGGTGGTGCAAATAAAAGAGAGCTGGCTGGTATGATGAGGGAAGGCTTCAGTGAAGAGGGAGCATTTGACCTAAGCCTTGAAAGATATTAATAACAGAATCTCCTGACTGTTGAGGTCTTCTGACCTCTGATACAGACTTGGCCCTAAGGAGTAGAAATGTCTCAAAAGTGAAAGAAGTATCAGCTTTTCTTAATTTGTGATATAGATTTATCACAATCAGATATCTGGTGGTTTTTTTTTTTTTTTGTTAAATGTCAAAGGCTTCAAGCACCCCTGCAGCTTGACCAAAATCATAAGACCCATCCAGGATTCATATCATTGAGTCACATCATTGAAGCCTACCTTTCTGGTCTTAGATTTCAAGGCATAGAGCATCACATGCAATTGATCTGATTCTAAGATTTGCTGATAGTATACACATGAATCTAATGAAGGAAGAGTATTAAAGATGCATGTGCCCTGACTCCTTCCCTGCCCCCTGAGTCTCAGTGTTGATTCTACTTCTGAGAGATATGGAGCAAAGTAAGCAAAATCCACAGGCAACCAGACTGCCCAGAAATGCTGGCTAAGTATGAGTAATCAGGAAGTTAGGGATAGTAGCTGTTTATCCTTCGGGGGCTGAAGAGATTAGAACTCTTTACAAGTCTTAGGTAGACAGATCCCAACCATCTGAATACTCAAAACATGAGTAGATCAGATAAGATAAGCAGATGAATCAGTAGAATTCCCCTGTCTTAAGACTTTACCTTTAGAGTCATCAGTAATTCTGTTTGTGTCCTACCGGCCTTCTATTCTTGGTAAAAAGCCCAGTTTGGCCAGCTTGTATCACCTGTCTAGCTCCATTCAAGACCTTTGGCTCTTTCCTTGGTTGTTTTTTGTGGTTTGTTTTTCTTACAAACCACTTAATCTCTCTAGTTTCCTTACATATAAAATCTCTTTGGACTATTTGGAACCCCACTGTTTCTAACTTTAAAATTATAATATCTGTACTGTATGCATAATCTCAGGGTTTTTAGAAGTAGACAGAGTTCTTTGACTAATATGGTTACTTTGCTTCTGACTCCGTTTCTCTCTGTCTCTCTCCCAGTCTCTCAATCTCTGTCTCTCTGTCTCTTATTGCTCTCTCTCTTTCTCTCTGAATATCTCTTTCTCTACTTCTCTTTGCTCTTGCTTCTCTCTCTTCCCCATACACCACCCCCGAACCCTAGCCAGGCTGAAAATGCCACAGCCAACATGGAACACAATCACTACTGATCGTCACAGAAGTTTTGATATGTTCCATTTCCATCCTGGCCCATTTCTTTCCTCCTTAGACAACCTGGTGACCTCTGATTCACATGGTTCGTCCTATTGGTTCTGGACTTATTATGGACACGCCTTGAGCTTTAGCCTTATTGCAGCTCAAAACTCCTAAGCTCACATGATCCATTAGCTCAGGCTTCTGGTAGCAGGGTTTACAGGCCTGTGCTACTGCATCACAAGAGCCAAAGGACTTTCTAGTGAAACAGTTCAGATTCTTGGTCCTCCCCCAGAATTCTGGTGTGAGGTAATAAGAATTTAGACTTAATTAGAATTCCCCAGGACCAAGACCTATCCAAGCAAACCAGACACAGAGACACCCCATGGGAATTTACCTAAGACTGCCATACATTCAGAATACTTAAACCTGAAGCAGTATCGATTCTAGAGAATATCTCATCTATCTTTTCCCTGGTCTTAACCTGTGAATCTCTGAGGTGCCTCCAGTATCACTAGAAGCTCAGAGATGATTCAGGCAGGTCACAAATGTTCAAGCTCTAGGTTCCCTCTGAAAAAGAGGTTTGTGAAACTGTTTCTGGCTGTGTTCACCAAAGAGCACACTGAGTGTGTTATAGTCATTTCAGTGTACTCTAGTATTCATGATCCATCAAGCCTCTATGTTCAGAGCAAGGAGAGCTGGGGACCAGAATGGAGTATTAGTGAATGAGAACCAGAGGAGAGAAGGGGTATAGATCATAGGAGAAATGAAGTCATAGAATCAGAGAGAGGTGGATATGTACACATGTTTTCTAGGAAGGGGCAAGAGATTTCCAAAAGGAGGAGAGACGATACAGTATTTCTTTTGTGAGATGTAGGTCATATTCTCCAATTTGTTTCTTTGATAAATATGCAACTTGCTATTTTTCCTCTTTGTGTATGTAATGCCTAATTTTAAAATTCTCTTTCAGATGTGACTAAAAATCATCTAATAAAATTTTTGTAGCTGAGATTGAAATAAAAAAAGTCATTATTCTCTTTCATAATCTTTTTACTGTGTTTGAAAATGCGTAAAAATAGGTCATATCCACTGGAGTCATCAGAAGAAGTAAAAATATTGTATAATCTTTGGTAAAATATACTTTAACTTCTTAAAGGAGTGGAACTTGGTAACTCTGTGATTATTAAACATGTTATTATTTTCTTTCTGAAGTTTGCAGCTCCGAACCAGAAAATATCCAAGCTGATCCAGAGAACTTTACCAGCCTCCTTGTCACGTGGGAAAGACCACGAGTGGTTTATGATACTATGATTGAAAAATTTGCAGTCCTCTATCAGCAGTTAGAGGGAGAAGACCAGACTAAGCATGAATTTCTGACAGATGGGTATCAGGACTTGGTAACTGTAAACTCATTTATTTTTATGCGTTAATATGCTTGTGATATTGTGGCTTCCAAGGGCTTTCTTTTCAAATTTTATACTTTACACAAGATATTATATTCCCATAAAATAGCTTGGTTATTCAAAAGTCTATCTGAAGCTGTCACTTTGCAAAAGCCAGTGCTATGTCATGTTATAATGCACAGTGAAAACAGATCTTTGCGATGGAAAGCAAAATAGACTATCTGTGTGATTTAGGCAAGAATGTTAACTGGAATGTTAATTTTCCAGATAATTCATGATAATTCATGTCTGAGTGAAATGGAAAATCCTCCATGAAACAAAAATCACTCTCATCCTTTCAAAAAAATCCTTCTGCTTAATTGACCACCCAAATTTTCTACTTAGTGTTCACTTTGAGCAATAGTTCATGATTGGGAAAGTATGCTCTCTGTGCTCTGTGACTGCATTATAATCTATCGTCATAGATTTAGAGCTGGAAGGGACTTTAGAAATTATATGGTCCAAATTTTTCATTTTTCTGATGAAGGGATGGTAAGTGACTTGCTAAGGTCATCAGGATTCAAACCTAAGTCCTTTGATGCGAGATCTAGTGCTCTTCACTACACTACCCTATTTCCCTCTGAGTTCAGTCATGGTTCATTTGATTTTTTGTTTGTTTGTTTGTTTTGTCTAGGCAGTGGGGTTAAGTGACTTGCCCAAGGTCACACAGCTAATAAGTGTTATGTGTCTGAGGCCAGTTTTGAACTCAGGTCCTCCTGAACCCAGGGCCCGGTACTCTATGTGCTGCGTCACCTAGCTGCCCCCATGGTTCATTTGAAAAAATCCCCAGCGAGCTTGCCCTTTTCCTTTTCTCTAAGGGAAGCTAACTTGTTAGTCTACCGTCTGGCACACATAGTAGTTATGTCTACGTTATGGAGTTATATAAAAAGTTTGTGTAATGAGTTATACAAAAATATATAGAGTTGTATAAAAAGTTCCAAAGACCTGAATGGTTAACCATTTTGGTGTTTGGCATAATGTAATCTAAACATCTACATAATCTGATTGGTAGGATTTGTTTTGGTTTTACTTTTCATATTATATCAAGAAGCAGGTACTATTTAGTATGTATACTTCAATTTGTCAGAAAAAAAATTGTGTAGTCGATAGAATGCTGGACTTGGAGTCAAAAAGAACTCAGTAAAAATACTACCTTTTTTTAACCTTAAAGATCATTGATTTTAACTATTTCATTTTTATAAGCTATTTTTTAATTAACATGAATTTATTTTTTCTCTCTCCTATATCCTCCCTTTTGGGGGAAAGAAATGGAAAACAAACCTGTTGTGACAAATATGCATAGCCAAGTGAAACAAATTCCCACATTGGTCACGTCCAAAAGTTGTATGTCTCGTTCTGCACCTTGAATCCATCCCCACCTCTCTGTTAGGTGTACGTTATTCTTCATCCTCAGTCCTCTGGAATTGTGGTTGGTCATTACCTTGATCAGAGTTAAGCCTTTCAAAGATTTTGTCTTTATAATGTTGCTATTACTATATAAATTGTTCTTTTGGTCCTGCTCACTTCACTCTGCATCAGTTCAAATAAGTCTTCCCAAATTTCTCTGCAACTATCCCTTTCATCATTTTATAAGACCTAATAGCATTCTATTACATTCACATTCCAAAACGTCTTTCCTCATTTTCTACTTGGTACCCCCTTAGTTTCAGTCCTTTGCCACTAAAAAAAAAAAAGCTGCTATAAATCTGACACATTCTAGCTGTGGTATCCTGAACAAGTAACTTAACCTCTTGAGACATCTAAGTGATAGCCTGGAGCCAGGAAGATCTGAGTTCACTCATACATTTACCAGCTGTGTGACCCTAGACATGTTAGCTATTGTTAGCTATTATTATTTTGCATCCGGTAACTCCCTAAGAATTATCTCCTTATCTATTAAGTTAGAGATGGATTGTAGTCCATGTTGGTAGAGAAGTTTCCACAGTGGGCACTTTACCCATGTTAATGTAGTCACAGATAGTATTCAATTTCCCAAAGCTATGATGAGTATAATAGTCCTGTATTTTATGTTACTGGCCAATTGTGCCACATTAGGTATCAAATGATCCTTAGCAAAAGTACTGCACATATTCTGTTAATGTCCAGATAATAATTGTCTGAATTTTGAATGCTTATTTTTCTAGTTTATGTCCTAAGGAAGAAAAAGAGTGAAGTAGATTTTTTTCCCCAGCTGGATTTGAATGCATCTTGGGAAAAAAAAGACAGTTGAATATAGATATAATGGCATATTAATCAAACAAATATCATGTAATATTATACGTCATAGCTTATATACAGGAATGTGCTTATATACATATAAGTAAATTATGAGAAGTACTAGATGATACTTGGCCAAGTATTGTCTTTTGTAGGGGCAGAAATCCTTGTCTATCGAGAGCAGTTGACCCAGAGGAAAAAAAAATAATCGAAGGCCACATATACAAAGTGAAAAGTTTATGTTATCTTCTTTTAAGAAGAAAATGCAAAATGTAACATTTCTCTACCTTTAAATTTAAGAACAAGGATAAGACTATTCAATTGACTACTATATTTTAAAATATACTTTACTTATCTATTATGGCTAATTAAAGGGGGGAAATAGCATGGAAAGGAGAAGGAGAGGGAGACATACACACAATCATAGACATATATATATATATACACACACACATACATATATGTATATTTGTTTATATAAAACACAGCATTGACTCAAAAACAAAGAGAGAAAGTCTAGTGATGGAAGCACACTTTAATGAAGTAGATCATGTGGTCTCTTCACATTTTCCCAACAAAGACTTTTAAAGTCATGTTATAGTTTCACAGCAATAGGGATACTTTGCTTTTATTCAAATAATGTTTAAAGTATCCCAACTTAACAGGTATCATTCTTATACAGTGATTCATTTCAGAATTTTCTGATCATATACACTTGATAATAGTGACACGTAATAACATGAGTTTAAAATAAGTGTATTTATATACCTATAAACAACATCTACACATCATTTAAAAACAATGAACAAAATAAAATAATTTATAAAATGGTTCTCTATGACGTAAAACAAGTAATAGCTTCTTTATTCAATATAAAAATAAATTTTAACCTCCTAAAAGGATTGAAAAGAATCACTTTAATCTATATTCATTCTGTATAATTATTGCCTCACCCTTGCCCTGCTCCATCTAATGGAGTCCTACACTATCTGTTTACTTATGTGACCTCTGTACCTGGGGCTGATTTTCAGGTTGGATAATACTGAATTATTAGCTGATGCCAGTTTCCCAGAACCCAATTGTTACTGTGTTATGCCACAGTCTGTACTCTTCTTGAGCCAGATGCTGACAGGCAATTTGATATTTTTCAATTCTGCCCATTCTGGCTGATTAAAAGGTGAACACCTATTTTCAGAAGGTATAATGAAAACAGTAATAGTTGAAATAGGGTTCATGTCACACTTTGGAATTGTCCTGTGGACAAAATAAAATTAAATCAAGTTCTGGATCTAGGCTAGAATCATAAAATCTCAAAGTTGGAAGGCCGTCTAATCCAATACATTGCTTCCTAGGAATATATTACCCATCATCCCTGACAAGAGGTCATCTGGCCTGTGCTTATAGACCACCATTGATCCACCACTACCCTCTTATGGCAGTCCATTCCACTTTTGGGCCTGCTCTAATTGTTAGGAAAATGTTACTTATTTGGAGCCCAAATCTGACTCTTCACTACCACCTCTTGTCCTTCTCTCTGGAGCCAAACAAAACAAATCTAATCCTTTCCCATGACAGTCCTTCATATATTTAATAACAACTATTATGTTTCCCCACATCTTTTCTTCTGCAGGTCAAATGTCCCCTCCTTCAACCTATTCTCATAGCATGATCTTGACACCCTTTATAATCTTTGATCACCCACTTCTAGATGAGTATCTAGCTTATAAATATCTCCCCTGAGAGTTGAACACTATACTTCATATATGTTCTGACAAAGATAGAATGTAGTGGGACAAGAAAAAAATTATATTTGCATCCTAGAATCGAGAGGATGACGCAATATCAATTCAGAATGAGCAACTTGTCCAGAAAACTGAACATGGCTGTTACTCCACAGTAAATCGAATTCCTTCCCCCATTAACTGTTATATACTCTTATAGTCAGGTGCCTTTGCTATTAGCAGATTTCACAGTCTGTCTTTTATAATCTTTTCTGTAATTTCCTAGATTCAGAAAATGCAAGTGTGTAAGGAGTCACTAAACATTTCTCAGCCTTGTTTTCTTCATCTGTAAAATGAGGATGATGATAGCACCTACCTCACAGGGTTGCTGTTCAGATCAAATGAGTTAACATATGTCTAAATCTTTACAAACCTTAAAGTGCTATATAAAGGCTAGCTATTATTATTATTAACAGGTTAAAAATTTTAAGTATAGCTGTTTAGTATGTCCAGAAACTGAGTTAAAATGAGACACTGATGTAATCAACAACATTTCTTTTTTAGGGTGCTATTCTAAATAATTTGCTGCCCAATACAAGTTATGTTCTTCAGATTGTAGCTGTATGCACTAATGGTTTATATGGAAAGTACAGTGACCAACTGGTTATTGACATGCCTTCAGATGATACAGGTAAGTGCTACCTTGAGAACAGTTGTCATTTTAACTGAAAAGAAGCATGTTGTCCCTTAACACAGTTGGGTTACAAGTATGTCAAAAGTGCAGCCCTTCCACCATTTTAAAACTGTCTATGTGTAACTGACATTTTTGTTCCCTGGGGTTATTGCTCCTGCTTATCTGGTGGCCTCTCGTTTTACATTCTGGGAGCATCTAGCCACAGAACTTTTCAAAAGTGCTACCAGTGAATGAGGATCTGCCTTCCCTTGGAACACCCTCCCCTCCCGTGTTCTCTGCTCACTCCTTCCTGCTTTACCTGATCTATGAGAATCAGGGAGGTAAGGAGCCTTACCCAACAAGAGCTTCTCTGAGACAGAGAAGGAAATCTAGGAGGAGACTCACCCAGAGAAGGAAATTTGAGCAGTTTACACTTGGGGAGGATAGAAAGTCAAGACTGAATTATTGAAAGATATAAATAAAAAAACTCTGCTAGTGAATAATGGATGATTATATACTTAAACTCAGGTTAAAAAGTGTGAGATCTCTGAGGTTTGTTACCATTGCCTAAGCCAATAGTCTCCAAAGTGGACATTATGTATTACAGAAGGGCCGTGGAATCATCCTAGGGGGTGTATGATGAGCCAGTCATCCCTCCCCATGATAATCAGTTGTGAGATTGTCTCCAGCATAGCTAAACCACTCCATTATCCCTCACCTCCTGTGATGACATTTTCAGGACATAGATAACACAATCTTGACCCATAATAACTATGAAGGCAAAATTCTTCCACCGTTATCCTTTTTTGTTTGTTTGTCAGGCATGGATGAGTTACTGCTTTTGTCATCTTGAAATCATTTAACCTCTCAGCTTCAGTGTCCTCATTGGTAAAATGGGGAGAGGGGAATTTTGACTAAAAGTCCTTTAAGGACACTTTCAGCTCTCAACTTAGGATGTCAAGATTGTGATCTACATCACAGGTCTTCCTCCTCAAACCTACCCTTTTTCCAAATTTCTCTATTTCTATTGTGGACACTACCATCCTGCCAGTAATCCACATTTGAAAGCTTAATGTCATTCCTAGCTCCTCACTCTCACTCATCCAATATCTAATCAGTTGCCAAATATTGTTTTTTCTACCTCTTCAACCTCTCTGGCATCAATCCCTTCTCATTCACTTCAAATGAGATAACATTTATAAAGTGCTTAGCACAGTGCCTGCCTGGCACATGGTAGATGCTTAATAATTATTTATTCTCTTTCTCCCTTTCCTCACATAACCACCACCAATGTTCAGGCCCTCATCACCTCTTGCCTGGATTATTACAGTAATCTCTTAATGAGTCTTCCTGCCTCCAATCTGTCAGAATTCCAATCTGTCCTCAGTGTAATTTATAAGGTGATTTTCAGTTATATCAGTGATATGCCCATATTCACTAAACTCCAGTGGCTCTCTATTAATATTAGGATCAAATATAATTTTATATTTATCTCATCTTTTTATTTCTATTTTGAGTTTTATAATGGATGTAATTATTAATACAGTAATATACAGATGTAATTTATAAGCGAGTATGGATATTTTAGATTATATACTCAAAATTTTTTTTTTACTAATAAGGTTGTATTATCAAAAAAAAAGTTTGGAGACCATTGGCCCAGGCAGATAGGAAATGGCATTTGCTGTGATTAATTCATTTTAAAATTATACTTCATTGAAATTTTTCTGTTATGGCATCCCCAAACTTGTAGTTAATATATTAATAAGTAGGCTGCAACTGTTAGCAAATTAGTTAATTAGGGTCATGTTTACATATCAGTTATCACCGCAAGCTTTTCATTGTTTAACCAAGCTCTCTTAAGTTTATGAGAGTCATTATTGCCTATTAATAAGATATAACACACTTGCATTTCACGAGTATGTGTGAATTACACACTTTGAGATTCCAAATGGGGGCCCACCCTTAGTCATTATTTATTAAGGCAATTCTCGGAAAGGCATTCTTAAACAAATATATGATTATTCTTTAAAATAGCATCACAGTAAGATGCCTAATAAAGAAATTTCCTTTAAATGGTCCCTGATTGTTGATTTCAGACCAGTATAGTACCAATGCATATTTTCGTATGGGGTCATCATACATTGTGACATAGTTAAAAAAATAAGGATTGTAGTCCATTTGATTATGAAATAAAATAGAATCTTCTTAAAAATTAATAGGATGGAAGTGGGAAGGGACAACAGATTGCTTTTTTGAGTCCTAATATGTTATCTAGCATTAAAATCAACAGAAAATTATTCCTGAGGAGCATGGAATTAATTTCTGATTCTGTCACTGACTGCTATGAAAAATCAAGCAAATTACATTAATTTATAATATCATATTTCTCCATTTTTGAAATGATGGCAATAATTCATGTTTATAAGGTATGGAATGGTCTTCAAATGGGAGTTGTTATGTAAGTGAAGATTTTAATTGAATGTTATTAAAAGGCATTCTCATTTTAATTTTCTTTTCTTAGCCCTAAAAATATCTTGTAGTAAGTAAATACATGATTTTAAGATCATGTGACAGATTTTGAATTTTTTATTTCAAAGCAACTGAGTGTATTCCCCTGGTTGATTTAGCAGTATATTTTAGCATCTTAAAATTTTGCTAACTGAATTCTTCCAACCAAGAGCAAATTTCATTTCAAAATTTGCTCCTGATTGTATTTTCTTTGCATGTTATTGCTTTTTCTTTGCATGGGGTTGCTGAATGAAAATTTTTGCAAAATTGGTCTTAAAGCACATTCAATGACGTTTCCTTGCTGTTTGTTATTTAAGAAAAGCAAAGCTGGCAAGCATAATTTGTTGGTTTACACAGGTAAATTAGATTATTCCATTTGCTTAAAATAGCATTAAACTAATGGAATTCAAATCTTACCTATTCTTTGGTCATCTTTATAAAGAATGTGTCAAGGATGAAACTCCCACTGAAATTGGAGTTGGTATTTTTTCAATTAGATGAAAATCGAAAACTATATGAGTCAGATTTCAGTTCTATTCATGTCAAGGAAAAATTAGATGCTCTGTCTTTCCTAAATACATATGGCAAATTATCTAACTGCCTGGTTTTAAACAAACAGCATTTTCACTAACGATTCCTCCAATGTCATACTAGCTATTTCAGTAATAACTCCTTCAGTAAACAGTGTGTTTTTCTTGGGACATTGTATATGTTAAAATACACAAGCTTCCAAATTACTGCTTAGCTTTCTCACCTGAAATTGTTGGCTTGTTACTGCCATAGTACTAGAGCAATTTCTATTGAAGTTGTATTTATGCATTGCTTAAAATTAACTACTCTGTTAGAAACATAGTTAATATGATAACACTGAGACCATGTGAACATGGTTATCCTTCCTATTGCCTTCTTTTCTAATATAAGATTATTTTGAGTACAAAGGGATATTTTTAAAAAAAATCGAGTTAATTTGCTGTAGTTCCTAACCATTTTTTACCAAAGTTCTGATTAAGAGGCCATCTGAAAAGTACTATCAGTGACAGTGTTATGGATATTGTATAAGTCAATAGGACATGAATACTGTTTACCATGTGGTAAAATACTTTCTCCACTTGTGTGTTTTTAGAGTATGTGAAATTGAACACATTTGCTCCATTATATAATTAATTTAAATGTCATGGGTTTTATCAGACCACTGTAATTTTAATTCATATATTTTTCAAAGACTTTTTTTTTTAATTGAGATTGTGTTTATGCTGTTACATATCATGTTCACCATGCTAGACATTTAAACCTCCAGCGAGGTCAAATATTTCTTTTCTGTAGAAGAGTGGTTTCTGAATGATCTTTTGAACTGAGTTTGTATTGGCTCATATAAGCTACAAGATTCCTGACTCCTGGGCAAGTTCTGTGCTTGTGTCTACAATACTGTTTCATACAAGATTATGAATATTGCAACTTAATCTCCATTCTTTACTCAAAGGATCTGGACAGTTTCAAACATCGCCATATTGAAATGGTAGTTTGGACACATCACCTAGCGTCTGTTTGTGTCTGTGTCTGTTTCCTATAAAACATTTAGTCCAGTAATGATTTCACTTTTAAGAAATGGCATGTGTTTTAGATGTTTCATTCTTTGTGGGGACCTGCTAAAAGCCAAATTTTATGAACTAAATTGGATTTTTCCTTACCTCTCCTGTCCTGTAACCTTTCATGCAAGGCCTTCTTCACTGAGCATTGGGGTCTTTCTGCTGTTATAGCACTTTGCAAACATTTAAGCAGTATATAAATGCTAGCTATTGTTATTATATATAGATCTCATCAACACGAAATGCATCACATTCCCTAGCATCTACAATAGTTTTAATTATACATTGCACTGTAGTATTTGAAATTGTCTCATCTTCAACGTTATTTCTATAGGATATATAAGATATTTTAAACCTAGAATATTATGCAGTGCTTATGAGAGTGTCTGTAATAATTCATTTATTTTATGATTATCTGACTAATGTAATCCTACCTTTGAAAATCTTCCTTTACCCTTCATACTGCCTCTCAGACCGTTCCTATTGGGAACCTTCCATTTTGTCAATCTCCAGATTTAGGTCAGAAATCTTGTAACAAGTGCCATAGAATTGTACTGTTATTACTGAGGAAGTATTTTGCCTTAGAAGTATTGTATTTTACTTGTTTGTGTTTGTTGTTTTTTTTTTTTTGAGCGTAGAAATAATTTTTAGTCTGTTTTATTCCTCCTAGTTTAGATCTATATACATTAAAAACTTTTGTTTTCAATAAAGATATATAGAGGAGTAATCAGCCCTCCAGGAATTCATATATAAACTTTTGAGTAGTCTGGCCAATTTGGGGCTTGTGCATTTTAATCACATGTTGCTGTCTTATGCAAAGGTATCACCATAAATTCCATTGTCCATTGAGTATTGTTTTTACGTTTAAAGTTACTATAAAAATGAATGCATAATTTCATTTCAAGAAACAAAATTTTTTAAAAATATAAAGAAAGTTGACCATCTTTTAAGAGGTATTATGTATTTTTTCTCATTACTGTTTTATATGAACTGATGCATTTGAATCCCAAAACCACAAGCATTCTCATTTCACTATAACTAAGATTTTTTGCTGATTTACTATTATGTAATCTAGAGCTTTTCTGAATATACAGAGCAGGTTGTTGAGAACACATATTTTCAGAGCTTTGTTTCTGTGTGTTTAATTTAAATGCATGGGTGTATTTGGTCACCATGTGTTCCTGTTAACATGTGCTTGCAAGTATACACAGATTGTCTTTGTTAAATCACTCCACATCTGTCCTTTTTGACTGTACTGCCCTGTATTGTTGGTGTTTATTTTAGAATGCTATTGAAAATCACAGTTGGAAGACATTGCGATCAACATTTGCTTTTAACTTCTGCACTGTAAAATTTGGCTTACCTTCAAACAATTAAATAAGCCTTGCCTGCCAACCTTCATCAGTGTTGCTTTTTGTGTTATGGAATGTTGATGTGTTACTAACATGTTAGAAAAAGAATTTTTTTTTGGAAAATCCAGTTTTACAAATAGTCGAATCCAAAATCAGAATGAACGAGTAGCTTTATTTCAGTTAGCATACAAATCAAAAGTTGAATTTTGAAGGATACACAAATTAAGGTTTTTTTATTCAGTGTCTTATAGAAACATATAATTTTGAAGCTGTTATAGTTTATTTTCTCGAAATGGGGGAAACCTGAGACCAGCATGACTTTTATGTTGTATAACATTCCAGTAGTGTCCAAGGAATGCCAAAAATACACCAGCATAAGTGCTAATTCATACATTCTGGGGAATTAGCAGACCAGAGTCTGTTATCAGATCAGGTTCCTATACCTTGTGCTATGGCTTCAGGGTCCAAGACTTGTCAGATGTGGCATTTTGAAACTCATTTTAGCCCAGAGTTAACCCCCAAAGGTCCACTATAGAGGATCCCTGAATGGGCAGGTGGTTCCAATGTATCTTTGAATTCTAATCTCTTCCCTAGATTCAGAGGTAAAGTACAGGACTGGGTAAAAGAAAACTTGCTTTAGATCCTTTGAAGGGAATTTATCCTCGTCAATATGAAGTTCCCCCAGCCTGAAAGCCAGCTTGAATTTAAAGTACACTACAGTGAGATAGCTGTGAATCTGTATGTGTTACCCAGAATTGAACCAGAATCCCTAAATGTAGCCCACTCTTTTTTTATGACATTGAACATCCAAGTCAAACATTTCAGGGACTGCCTGAGGAAAGCCACATTTATCAAGGCACGAATGTTAGCTAATCTAGCTCTATAGTCTGTATTGTAAATTTCCCTCTCAGCAAAACTTTCAAAGTATTTCAGATACAGTGCAAATTGGTAATATAAACATAAAGTCACATTTAAACTAAAAAAAAAAGTGATGGTAAGAATGCACTGTTTCCATTAATTAACATTTTGCCAGACATTTTTCTATACCCATGGAAATCATGTTACAATGTTATTTCTGTAGCCAGATGTGTCACTGCTCTCCATGACATAGGAGCAGATCTACCAAACAGCAGAATCAGCAGCCCTGTGACTGCCATTTCTGTTTTGGTCCAGATAGCCACACTGTTGCCTGAGCAAGTTCTTGCCCTCCAAGTAGGAGGTGTTTTAGTTTGATGAGCCATCCATTGACTCTCATCCTTGGTACATGATCCCTCTATACTGCCATGAAAGATTTCTTCCAATACATGTTTTTCTTTTTTTTTTTTCAACTTCGATTAATAACTTATTTTGAAACTGCACCCTAAGCATGTTGAGAAGCCAGGGAATGTTGTCATGATTTTATTTTTCCCCAGATTCATCAGAAAAAGAGGTAAGATTAATCAATCTTTTTTTTCTAATACAATATAACAAATGCATCACTCAGTGTTAAACAGTGGTGTTAAAATGTAACTTTAAGTGTAATTTTTAAAACTCCATTTAAATATGAATCAAATTTTGGATTTAAGGAGGTTTAATATTTATTTCTGTGGCCTATTTGGGATAAGAATCATCAGCTGCCTAATTTTCCCAGCAAACCTTCATCCTTTTAGGAAATCTTCTTAGAAAGTATTACCTGGGCAGTGGACTGTGTACTCTTTTCAAAATAGCACATTTTAAGATTCCCTGGAATTTGTAAAGATATAGGTAGTTAGAATTGCAAAAGTTAAAAGGATAACATTGAAAAGAATTTCACTTCCAAATTGTGTCATTACCAATTTTAACAAAAGAAGAAATATTTAATTAAGGCTCTATAGACATTTCTCATGAATGCCAGGGCAGGGGAGGGAGAATGTTTAATGGCTTCGGAAATAGCTCAGGGCAAGGAAAATGCATACATACCAGGTGAGTAGCTGAAAACATTTACTTCATTGATGTACTACTTACGTGTTTTCTGGGGGCTGGATGGGATGAACAATTTTTTTGCTTGTATTTGCAAACCTCTCATCTTCTTTAAATGTTGCTAATTTTTAAAGATTACTTACTATGTAGAAAGTTTTAAAGTAGTTCACTTTTCTTTGCAATACATAAAACAAGACAAGTTTTGTTAAAAATTTTAGAGTTATCACTGGAATGTCTGATAGAATTTGCATTTCACTTTAGGCGGTTTAAATTATTCAGGAAAACCTTAAATATGCTTTGGAGCTTAATTTCATTCAGTTACTCGTATGTATTCCTCTTAAAATATCAGTTATTCAATTCAACATATATTAAGCGCTTACTTTGTATAATGCACTGTGCTGAGGATTCAAAGTAAAAAAGTGCAGGTACAGCTTCTAATCTTAAGTCTAGCATAAAATATGTCATCATTAAAAGAGGTGTTAACCCGAAAGGAATTTGGTCTTTTTTTTTTCTCCCAAAGTGGAGACAAGTTGAAGAGGCAGAAAAAGGACATAAGAGCATAAGGGAGAAAGTGGAAGATGAGTGGAATAGATGAAAAAATAGAAACCCTCAATAAGTTTAGTAAAAAAAAAGGATAGGAACAGAGAGTCTTGGTAAATAAAGAAGGGAAAAGATCTGAAGATTTTTCAAACTCACAGCAGTTACCCTAGGATTAGGAATTTAACGTGAAGAGGTAGAAGGGTATGATGGCAGAGGTGGATGGTGTGGTGGGGATAAGCAAGAGGAGGATGCTTATTACAAACCCTTTGGAGTAAGAGAAAAATAATCCTATGTTATCGCCCTCTTTGTCAAGATGGCTCTTCTCCTCTCAGCTGAAAGAGAGAAAACAGTAACATCCCATACCAGTTTCTTGGCATCTTTAGAAGTGAAGACATTCCTGTTGGCTTTCCAGTGATTTGGGCAAGCATGGCATTTTCTCCAGTTAAATAAAGGAGGACCAGCCCACATGTTCTTATAAATGCTGTCAGTTCTATGACTGAGTGTCTGTTAATAAGAGGGTATTTATTCTGGTAGGCTGATTGGAAATATTTAGATCTCCTTAAGCTTGGTTGTTCCATATTGCAGGTGTAGGTACTGCCTGTATGCCTTCCTTGAGATGAAATAATTGGAGTGGGTCTCATTCTCACTGTGTCCGAGGTCTGTTAATGATTAGAGTAACAACACATTTACACAGTGTTTTTTTTTTTTTCATCAACATATAATGTAGGCAGCACAAATGTTGTTATCCCTTTCTTACTGAGGCTCCGAGAAATTAAGTAGTTTGCCTGTGTATTATCAGAGCCAGGTGTTGAACCTGGATGCTTTTCTACTGCATAATATTGACTCTGTTGAAAGACACTTAAGTTTTCTCTGTTCAGAACCTCAGAACCTGGCATAGCCTCAGTTACATTATGGGTGCTATGATAATCCTGGTCACTTCAGGAAAATAAATAATAATGGACAAAATACCCATTTACTCCTAGTTTGGGAAAAGAATTTAGGAGAAAGTTGGCTAAAGGATAGAACTAATCACACAAAGTACCCAGTAAGCCTCTGGTACATAAGCAAACCACGTTCTTTATAAGTAGTACTTAGGGTGAAAGTAATTCTTTACTTTTATTTACCTGAAAAATACTCTTTTGATTTTCTTACATACCTGACAGCAGTTTTATGTCATCACCCTTTCCACCCATTTGCCAAACTGGGAGAGGGAATTTTTTTTGAGGAAATGATATTTTCAGTGTATTATTATGTAAACATGTAAATTTACATGGAAAATTTTGGCTTTTTCATTTTAATAGTGAAATATCCTTTAAATACTGTTTCCCCCCTCTTACAAACCAAATATAAGTTCAACAGGTTGAAATATTTAATTGGAAGTTGTGATAATTATTATTATTATTATTTTTTAATTTTAGAGATTGATCTTCCTGAATTCATTGAAACAGGAGAATTATTCAAGGTATATTTTTCCAAGGTCAATTTTTATATTCATCTTTTTCTTTAAGAAACCTAATAAAAGAACAGAAGTTTTGGGTTAAGGATAAGGATTCAGGTAATTGTTGGACTAATAATTAAAGATATTTTTCATTATTTGAAATCAGTTAATATTGTGTTCATTATTATTTGTAGTAATAAAGGGAAGTGGACAGCCACAAGTTTCATTTCTTCTTTTTGAAGAACTACACATATTTCTATCACTAGCATTGAAAAGAAAACTACCTCAGTAATACATAAAAATAGCCATAATTCATATTTAAAGTCTAACTTTAAACGTAGATTATTAGTCTGAGTTCAGATCTTCATTTAAATTTTGGAAAATAAATTTTGGCTTATGATATTTTAATAATTATTTAGATAGATGACTTGCCAGTGGTTCTATCACTGGTTTACTAAATGGCTTAATAGTTAATGTGATCAAGAATATATAAGGGAGGGTGGTGGGGAGGAAGGAGGAGAAAAATTTTAAACTCAAAAGCATGTGGAATTGATTGTTGATAGTTCAAAATAAATTAATAAAAAAAAAGAATAAAAAATATATAAATGTATAAATTCATATTTTATGTAAATATACATGAGTATTTCTGTTGCTTGTACCAGTTATCCATTATATGCCCTACTTTTAGTGAATTTGTAATATCAGACCTACTTCCTTCCAGGACACTTCTGATTTACTATCCTATGCTGTCATGCCAATACTAATAATTTTAGTATTAACTCAAGTTAAAAGTTAGGAAGAGAAATACTTAAGAAATACACGGATAGGGATAGGAAATGGAGCTACGATTTCGCTGATTAAGAGAAACTCCCCGAATGAGGCATCTCTTCCAAACATACGTTAGCACCTTCTCTGGTGTTGCCACCAATACATACACACACACACACACACGTATATGTATGTTCTAGTTATGAAGTTAGACCAGTTTCCTAAATATACCTCTTCATTAAAATTCAGAAAATAGGGGCAGCTAGGTGGTGCAGTGAGTAAAGCACCAGCCCTGGAATCAGGAGGACCTGAGTTCAAATCTGGCCTCAGACACATAACACTTACTAGCTGTGTGACCCTGGGCAAGTCACTTAACCCCAATTGCCTCACCAAAAAAAAAAATTCAGAAAATATATTTTTGGCCTAAAGGAAAAAATAATTAGCAAATTCATTATGTTCATATTGTATTATTGATTCTAATCATTGGTTTATCTGGACTAAAATATTTTCCTCTTATTATAGCAATTGGGACCTATTAGTAAATGATTTTTTTTCTTCTGATGCCATGCACCCAGTTGGGAACCTCCTCCAACCAATGAAAACTAGCAATTAATTTATAAATTATAGTTTTAGAGAGGTACCTTGGAGCACTGAGGCTCTGAACTGTCTTGCTCGTGGTCCCACAAAGAGTATTTGCAAGGGACAAGACTTGATCCTGGGTCTTCCCGATTATGTGGACAACTTTATACCCACTGTGCCACAATGCCTCTCTAATGAATGATAATATTTGGGTTTTTGTAAGTTAGAATTTCACATTATAGTATTTCATAGTAAGAAGGGTCAAAATAATATAAAATTCTTATACTGATATATTACATTACAGGGTTTTCAGCTAACAATGGAACTGAAAACAAAATCTTGAATTCTTGACTTGTTAAATTTATATGACCTCCTAAGCAGTAATTAGCTTCATTTCAGTCATCAATATACATCTGTATATGCATGAGTTGTTCAAAAAGTAAGTTTATGAGGTTAGTGATGTGTTCTTTTTTTATATTTATTTAATACTAGAATTTCTAGTTCACAAAGCACTTTATACATGTTATGTCATGAAATTTATACAATATGCATAGTATGACCATCTTTTTTGGTAGTATAATATTTTGTTGAACATTTGTGGCAATACTGTAAAGTAGATTAGTTCTTATTGTGAAAGTAAATCCTTAGTTTAAAATAGCCAGTTTTCATGGGGAAGCCACATGAAACTGTATAATTCATATGGATAGTCGTGTCTAATTTATATGGATAGTCGTGATGTATGAGCACTGTGAAATTTGTATTCATTATGTCTGCGTTTCTATCCAAGATGGTCACCAATTATGCTTCAAATATAGGCTAGTCTTCTTCCAAGGGGGAAGGCTAAAAGACTTGAGAATGTCCTTTCCATTCTCCAGTTTACTGGAGAAAGTAAAAGTGTCTTTGATGGGGTTGAAGAAAGAATCCATGAAGGGAAGAAGAAAAAGATTCAGATAAGATGTAAGGGAAACAGAGTCATTAAAGAGGATAGTGAGTAAAGGAAAATAAAACAGAGGAGAAAGAGTTTTGTCCCATTGGACCTACATTCTAAGTATGATAGTTGGGTTATGATATATGATAGTGGAGTATGAATCCAGACTTTCTGAAGAAGAAATGGCAAACCATGCTCATTAAAAAACTAAGGATAATATACCAGCCCTAGCACGTGGTAGAAGTTTTATTATCATACCCAAGATGAGGAGCTGTATTAGGGTGTTTGGTGATTTTTCCTGAAGGATAGAGTGATAGCTATATATAGGCCTGATATGGTTTATAGAGGGTCTTTCTGTAGCAGGATTTGAGATATACTAGGACTACGCACTTGTGACTGTTACCCCCCCTTATTCTGAGTAACAGAGGAAGAATAATGCAGACAGAAGCAATCTGAAATATTTCTAGTATTTCTGAAGTCCTGAGCAGGAAAATGCAACATCTGGAGATATGTGGGTATTTTCATTGTTTCTTGATATTAAAAGTAATGACTGTGGAAGATTATGCCCACTTCTCCAGTTAAAGATGGATATTAGCTTTTACTCAGTTGGAATTTTAAAAATTGTTTTTTGAACTGTAATTATAATGTTAAAATTGCATATTTTGACATTAATGGAAAGACTCTACCAGAAAGAGGTTAAATAGAGAATTGAACTGAAATTTAAGGGGAAAAGAGGAAAGATATGCAGACAAGAAGGCACAGTCTCCACCCTTATAGAATTCACTCTGTAGTGGAAGGATAGCATGTAATTCTCAAGAAGAAACAAAATGGAAGAAGATTGGGAATGATATTTCAAGAATTTGTTGTCACCACTGCACAGAACATAGGTAATATCCAGTGAACTTTACTTTTAACAGCAAAAGGTCATGTCAGTCTCATCACACACATATCACATCACTTGGTAGGAAAGGATTGATGAGTAATAGAATATGGCAATGGGAGAATTTAATGTATGCAAAATAAACAGTTAATAGAAGGAAAAGGGGATTATTACTATATATTAAGAAGGTATGTATCTGTATGAAAATCTATGGAAATGAGAGTAGAAACTGGGTGAACATAAGAGAGAGAAACATGTTTTCTCTGGAGACCACCCAGCTAGAAAGGAAATTTGGCTAATATCTTCCTAAAATAGACCACAAAACTGGCCAAGACAAAATACAAGAATTGCAAACAAAAGACTTATGAATTTCAGCGAAGAGAGCATCTCATAATTTCTTTGTGAATAAATTGGAATAATGTGACTTTGGCTGAATGTTGGCAAATTAGGTAGGTTTTATATTTGGTCAAATAACCACAGCCAGAGTGTTTTGGTTGATGAATTCCCATTAATCTGGGAAAAGATCGGGCTCTTGTAGCAAGCCACAGTGCTCTTTCCTTGGCCCTGACCAATTACTTTTGTCAATAACTAAAGTAAAAATATAGAAGGCATGCCAGTCAAGTTTGTGAATGACACAAAGCTGGGAGGGATAGTGAATCCTTTGGATGATAGAATTAATATTTTAACATCACAACAGGTTGAAATTAAGGGACAACACAATCAAAAATAAATTTAATAGATGTGTGAAATACTGCATTTTGTTTTCTGCTTAAATTACATTAATAAAGGAGTGAAGAGACCTCATTTAACAACAATTTGTGTGAAAAGGCCTGAGGGCCATCATTGACCACACACTCCATCTGAATAGTATGCCATGTCTGCTGAAAGGGATTAATGCAAGTTTAGGCTACATTAATAGGCATGTAGGTTCCAAATCAAGAAAAGCAACAAATATACTATATTCTGTGCTGGACAGACCAACTCTAGATTCCTGTGGGATTAACAAAAAAAATTAAATAAGATAGCCACTGCCTTTACTGAGTTCACAGTCTAGTAGAAGGATAACTCAGAATGCATAGGTAACTTTAATACAAAATTATATGCAAATAAATAAAAGAGGAAAGAAAGTACTATACAAGGCAGAAGGAAAGGTCCATTACTGCCCTGGGAAATCTGGGAAGACATCAGAGAGGAGGCATATACCTCCTCTGGTATATTTTGTTCAGTTCTGGGCACCACATTTCGGAAAGGACATTGATAAACTAGAGAAAATCTGGAGGAGAGCAAACATGGGTAAGAACCTTGCAATTATGCAATATGAGAATAAGTTGAAGGAACAAAGCCTTTTAGCCTGGAGAAGAAAAGACTTAGGAAGGACAGGACAGCCTTCTTCATGTATTTGAAGGATGTCACAAAGAAGTATCATTAGCCTTGTTCTGCCTCACCCCAGAGGACAGAATTAGGCTTTCTGGGTGGAAATTACAAAGAGGTGAATTTATTCTTAATGTAAAGGAATATCTTTACAATCAGAGCTATACAAAAGGACAGCTCGCTGGCCTGCTTTGGGAAGGAGTGGGTACCCACCTTACTAGAGGTGGGGTTCAAGCAATGACTAGATTCCCCTACTTATATCATATCATATCATTATGTCATATTATATTATGTTATTACTCAAGTACAGGTTGGATCAGATAGCTCCACTTGGTCTCTTTGAAGTCTTGGATTCTAAGATTTTGTGAATTTGGACTTTAAAGGATGGGTATGATTTCAGCAGGTGGAGAGAGGATAAAAGGGCTTTCAGTCATAAGGCAGTGGTATTGCGCAAAGACATGGAGGCAAGAGAACGTTGGATATCTATAATGGATGGCAGATAGTTTAGTTTGGCCAAGGTATGAAGTACATGGAGGTGATGTGAGAAATGTCATTATCCTGGAAAGGTAGGATGATAACAGAGGCTGGAAGACTTGAATGCCAACCTAAACTATCTGACATTTAGAGTTAGGCAAAAATAAAACAAAGCTACTTTGTAAAGCAGTGATATTCCTACTGCCCAAAGTATTCATTCATCAATATTATTGAAGGCATTATTTATTTATTTAACTTTTGGATGAAAATTGAGCTAAATGACTTCTAAGGTTCTATGTCTTTATAATTCTGATTCCTAAACACTTCATCCCAAGTAGAACTAATATACTAGGCTTTGATTTGCCAACTTGGAGAATGTTCCCACCAAAGAAATTTATCTCAACTTGTTACAGAGGTAACAAAGTAGTATTGATTTTTCACCAATAAAATATACCAAATTACATGCTGTTTGAAGAGAGATGATTAAAGACCTAAAATTTTGTCTTAAGTGTGGAACATTTAGGAGAGCAACAACCTTAATTAAAGGCACATTGAGTCACAATTACAGTCAATGCACTTATTGTTATAGTTAACATTTACAACAGCCCTTCAAGAATCTCTGATTGTATCAGTGTTGCTACTCCCATTCCAAAAAGAGACTGGAATTCCTCCACATCTTCAAATATAGCCAAAATGTTAATCACCCAGTGGCCATTTCTGGATGACATTCTCTAAAGTTTGCAGTTCTGAACTTTTAATGAACAATATGGTACATGGATGACTGTACCAATGTTTACTTTCTGCTGGCATAATTCCAAGATCCCATTTCACTTCTGTGCATGGAATGAAGTCTTAGAATAGGACTCTAGTATTGCCACAAATGCCTAGGAAAATAATACTGTCAATATTATTTTATTATGCATATTTCATTGGTAATTAAGTTAACAAACTTACTTTTTGAACAAAGTAATTAACATAGAACTTTAAGGTTCCACAGAGCTTTGAAACAACAGCTTTGTGGGGTAGCTAGTGCAAGTAGTGTTATCTCCATTTTACAGACTGAGGACATGGAAGTGTGAGTATCTGAAACTGGATTTGAACTTAGATCACCATGCTTCAAGTCCAGTGCTCTACAATACTCTCAGTAGAATGCACCTGTTCATGTGTGTTTGTATATATTGGTCAAATTAGAATCTAATCCCTTTGTCAAACTTAGGATTTTACTGCTATCAGGACAACTCTTTCTCAGTTTTATGATCCAGCCACCTATTTCAAAGCTATCAGAAACAGTAAAGTAGCAAGATTTAGAAATTATTTGACATGCAGATGCCTAGTACCATGAGCCTAGGTGACAAAAATATACCTTGATTTATTTTTGAATTTAGCTTTTCTGAAACACATAAGTTTGGCTTCATAACAAGGGATCCACTTTATGAGAGCACAAAGCATTGTGCGACGTTTTGTTAACTTCCAGGTAGAATCCCACAGGCAGTCACCCAGATGATTTTGAGAGACAACAGAATCCAGGCTTAGGCATTCAGGATCCCCATATATGTTTAGGCTACACTCAGAATTCTTTATTAGGTGATTGTAGTTAAATTTTTATGAGTCATTTTTAGAACCTCAATTGAGGCACCACATTGATACTCTAAAAGAGATGTTGTCAAACACAGCCCTTAGGCCCTCTGGCCTGAACCAGTTTAAAATATAATTGGAAGATATTTAACAAAATACACAAAAATAGAATATAGATAATGTTAATCTGTGGTGCTTAAGTAGATATGCATTCACCCTGTGGGGAACCTTATGCATGGTTTAGTGACTTCCATTTCTATTTGAGTTTGACACCACTGCCGTAAATGCTTTCTGAGGAAAATTACTGTTTTGTAACCCCATAACTTAATGCCTAATTCTGGCATAAACACAAGTCACCATTAATTTATAGCGATATTATTTCTCCAAGTAAATATTATTTCTCCAAGTCCAAGTTACTTGACATTTAATGGTCTGGTGAGTTTATTACTACTTAACTTGCTATCAGATGAACTACAGAATCATGGAGACATGAAAATAAATTTATATATTATTCAGGAACACTCTCAGTGAATAAAAACGGATACCATCTTTCCTCACTTCGAGACTGTGGTGTTCATTAATTGAATTATTTCTTCATTTGCAAGGAAGTCAACAATTAAGATACCTTCTCTAAAATTTGTTAAGTCAAGGCCTCACTATGATGGTAGTTCATAAACATGAGGGCATTAACTAAAACCACATAGTAAATAATTTGCAGCAACGTATATGGATATAGAATTGATGTTTACTTTCTCTTATTTTTGTAGGTATTCTTTTTAAAAGTTTGAATTTTCTGATTACTTTTTTATAGGAGGAAGATGATAAGAAAGAGATGGAACCAGAAACTGCAGTAAATCCAAGTACAACTAGTGCTACAAGCCAGATAAAGAGAAAGGAACCCCAAGTCACTACTACATTAAACTACAAGAGAGAACAATCGAGGACAAAACCCAATAAGGACAAAACCAATCAGTATCTTACAGAAGGGAGGGAATTCTCTGAAGAGGGGGATGTCCATAATGTAATCTTTTACAGTACTTACCAACCAGTAACTGAATTATCAGCCCAAGAGAAAGATATTTCTTGGATTTCTCAAAATATTACCGATGTTGTAGAAACCACTTCATCTTCTCCACATGATGGTTCTAAAACTACTCTTCGCTTCTCACAGATCAGTTCCTCTGAAACTTCAGATTCTTCACGTGTCTCATTAGCTGAATCACAAGAAACGTCAACTGATAGTCGCGAAGAAGATAGTTTATTAACCAACTTTCAATTTGAATCAGGTGGTGATGATTCTTCAGGCTCTGTTCCTGTAACTTCAGCTGGGCCATTTGTATCAGAGAACATATCTCACGGATATGTCATTTCCTATGATGTCCTTCTGCCAGGGTATACCAAAAACACTTCAAAAGATTCAAATTCATCAGATTCTGAAGAGTCCCTGAAGAGTCCTTCTGTTGATGGAAACGTGTGGTTCCATAATATGACAGATTTGACAACTAGTCCTGATGCTTCATCAGGTGATAGGAAATTATCTCAAACTAGCTCTACTGATACAGTCAACAAGGAATCAGCAGCAGCTACGGCGGCATCTTCCATTGGCCCGTTGGCGTCTCAGGATACCTCAGTCGTGGATCTAGAAATGCCTCCCTATTCCACCTTTGCTGACTTCCCTACTGAGGCAACCCCTCGTTCTTTCTCTCCAACCTCTGGACGTGGTGAATCCACTTCTGCTGCCAGTGAGGTACTCTCTCAGACAACCGAACCGGGATACAATGGTGAGATACCTCTCCAACCTTCCTACAGTAGTGAAGTGTTTCCTCTAGTCACCCCTTTGTTGTCTGACAGTCAGATGCTCGACACTGCTCTCCCCGCTGCTTCAGGTAGTGATCTGATCTTGCATGCTACACCTGTATTCCCCAGTGTTGGTGTGTCATTTGAATCCACTCTGTCTTCCTATGATGATGTACCTTTGCTTCCATATTCTTCTGCTTCCTTCAGTAGTGAAGTGCTTCACTATCTGTATACAGTCTCTCAAATCTTTCCACAAGTTACTCCAGCTGTTGCCAGTGATAAAGTGTCCCTGCATGCTTCTTCACCAATGGCTGAGGTTGTTGATTCATTATTACCACCCAGTCTTGATCAGTATTCTGATGTGATGCCACATCAGACTCCTCAAGCTACTTCAGAGACATCTAGACTTGCTAATGAGTTGGGTGCCCATAATAAAACACATGTGCTTTCTCAAGTTGAACCATCCAGCAGTGATGTAAAGATGCATGTACTTTCTACAGTATCTGAACTTGCTTTTGCTTTGTCCGATAGAGGCTCCCTCCAGACTTCTCCTGTTTCCTATGATGCTACGGTGGCTGTGCATGATTCTGTTCACCAGGGTTCCTTATCTAGCAGCTGTAACAAAGTACTGATGCTTAAGCCTTCTGTTATAGCCCAAAGTGAATCTTTCCAGGAGCCTACAAATGTTCTTTCTAGTGATATGGATTGGTCTGGAGCATACTCTGGTGGTAGCGAGTTCCTTTTGCCTGACACAGATGTCTTGACAGCACTTAACATTTCTTCACCTGTTTCTGTAGATGAATTTACATATACAACATCTGTGTTTAGTGATGTTAATAAGCTGCTTCATAAAAGTGATGGAGATGAGACAGTACAGCAGATTTCCTCTTTTAATGAAATGGCTTACCATTCTGAAAGTACAGTGATGCCTGAACTCCCTACACCTAGTGACAACGTAATTAAACGAAATGTATCTTTACAGGAATCCTCAATTCCTGTTTCTGACACAGAGGGAGTCCTTCCAGTGTCTCTTGCTCTTCCCACTCCTAAGGTTTTTGGTCCTGAAGTTAGTCAACCTTTGCATGCTACATCTCCAGCTTTTGGCGACACTTTGCTTATGTTTAGTGCAATCTCAGAGCAAGCTTTCTCTGCTGCTGCTTCTAGTGAAATGTTGTTTCCAACACAGCCATTGTTTTTCGAGGCCTCCTCTTCCTTAAGCAATGAAGCCTTACTGCAAACTTCCTTTCAGTCCTCTGATGTTGGCAGTCTGCTTAAAACTGTCCCAGCTGTGCCTAGTGATCCAATATTGCTTGAAACCTCCATGGTTGATAAAAATTGTTCTTCAATATTGCATCCAATGGCATCTGATTCTGCTTCAAGTAAAAACGTGCAGCATTCTACCTCTGTACCAGTTGCTGATATGTTATCACCCACCTCTAGCCTGCCCACTGCTTCGCTTCAAGGTTTAACCATTTCTTATGCAAATGAGGACTATGTCACAGCCATTTTACTTAAAAGTGAAATATCACAGCAAGTTGAGCCTTCATTGTATAGTAATGGTGATTGGTTCCACTCTACCAATGTGGGGATTCCCAGTGCATTTCCTCCCACAGCTGTACTTACAGTTGCGACTCCGAGTTTCTCCACTGATATGCTGCCAAATACTCATATAAGCAAGCATATTTATTCTGACGAATTTCCTAACTATAACACAATTAGTTCTCTTATTGATGATATTTCAGCTCCTGTAACACTGGTTGCTTCCAGTACAAATAAATACATCGATCACCTTGCTCTTCCTTTACCAGATGCACATGTTTCTGTTACAGCTGCCTCTTCCACCATTGAAGGCACTGAAACTTTAAGTGGCTTAATAATTCCCTCACAAAAAACTCCTGGGTTAACCCTGAGTACCAGGTCTAGTGCTAATTTTGTAGTTGGTGGTGGCCGTGGTAATGATGATGAGGATGATAGTGATGAAATCGATGATTATGATGATGATGGTATATCTGTAAAAAATTGTATCTCATGTATCTCATATAGAGAATCTCAGGAAAAGATAGTAGATGATTCAGATGCTCAAGTAAACAATTTTGTGGATCAGAGTAACCTAATCCCATATTTGCCATCAGAGAAATCTGAAGAAGAAATGAAAACAGGAGGTTCAGTCTCAGATAGTCAGCTAAGCTCTGGAATGGAAAGAAGTCATGAACAGCCCCCATCGATAAACATGCTACCCCCAAAATACAGTGATGCAACAACAGTGGGAAATTCTATTCAGACTGGCTATACCCAATTTCCTGATACCTCAGAATCTAAGTCTTTGACTCTTTTCACAAGTGACGAAGAGAGTGGCTCTGGTCAAAGTACCTCAGATAGTTTTAATGATAATGAGACATCAACAGATTTCAGTTTTCCTGATCTGAATGAGAGAGACACAGAAGGAACCCTGCAAGCAGGTGACTCAGAATTAACCCCTGGATCACCACAGTCATCAGCACCATCTGTTACTAATGGTCAATCAGTGTTCAACGTTTCTGAGGCAGGTTAGTTGTGAATCAAGCTCAGAGCTGTAAACTCATATAGTATTTAGCTATGTTGTTTTCCTTCCACTGACAGAGGAGAGATAGTATATAACGTGAGCATATGTTACAGAAAGAAGGATTATCTCTGGTGTATTTTGGGGACAAACTATAAATCAAGAATAGGAGACAGAGGTTTCAAAGTAGCACTTGTCATTCCATTGTTTTTATTATCTAACATTCTGTAGTTTTCAGAATATGGTCTTTATATTTCAAAAGAATAGTCAAGTTTTTTTGTTCTCTTCATTTTACCTGAAATAGCTTAAATTATTTTATTTAAAGCAACCCTTTCCCAATAGTTCATACTCTATGAGATAAGCTGGCCATCGTGTAATATGATTTGAAATAATGTCAACGAATTAACTATAGCAGGTCTCATTATGATGGTGTATCTTAGCATAGAAGTGACCCAGGTTTCTTGAAGGATCTGCTGGTGGAACATAAAGTCACATAGGTCCTACCAAGCTGGAATGGCTTCAGTTATGGGCCCAGACTCTGGGTCTGTTTCTGAGGACCAGCGTCCCTCAGTTTGAAGAGGCTCACGCCAGCAAGTTCCATACCAGTTAGTTAAGCAGAACATGACACCATCTACTAAGGACCAGCTATCAAGCTGTGTCAGTAGAGGCTAAAATTGAAGTATTCAAGTAAGCTTGTAGAGATTGGGTATTTCAGAATTTTTAGAATGATGCTTTTTGTTATCATTCTTGTTTTTTACATTTCATTTTAGAACTCTAAAGGTCTAAAATACCTTGGTCAGCTAAATTCTTAAAGTATGTCATAAGACCTTCCCTCAACCCCTCCAAAAATGATGACACAGTTCTTTTGACCGGCCACAAGACAATCAGAAATTTCAGAAAATTAACAACAAATGATTTCTTTGGAATAAACCTTAGTGAGCTGTAAAAATAACTCACAGTGAATAAATAGCATGTTACAGTGTGAGGATTTTTAGTTCTCTTTGGTTGATTATTTCGCTGTTGCCTGAAGAGGGCAGTATCAGGCAACAAAATACTGCACCATTCGCTTCTGACTAGAGTTCCAGAAGGAATTCATGTATCAATTATTGATATGCATCATAATCATATGAAAAGATAAAAATCAATGTATCTGTAAAATTAATGCTTTTTAACTTTTTGATGAAAATTTGCTAGTTAGATGTTTTAAAAACAACTTTTTAAAAAGCATACACAATACCCCCTTTTCTTAAGAATTATAAAATACGTTCATTATGCACATAAGGACACAAGTTAATTACACCAAAGGGATCATGTTATTTATAGTTTGCTTTAATTAAATTTAAGGGAACATTATTTGTAATTAGCAATGAAAAGATTTGAAATCTTGACAGTACTTCAGAAGATAACTGTTTAACATGTTGCTTGACTTACTAATAGCTCCTGTTTATAACCCAGCACCTAGACATCAACCTCATTAAAGAATTTTCCTCTATGTTATTTTTTTCCACTAAATTATGTTGCATATTTTCTTTTAGTGCAAAAGCGGCAATTAAAAATGGGTACATTTTGGTCATGAGGTTTCCCTGCAATCAAATTTTGTCTATTTAATATTACATTTAAATTTCAACAGTTAAAACTCTGACATGAAAATTTATAATGAATTCATAGTTGAGGTATCATGGTGCATTCGTTAGGGCTAACATACATGGAGTGCTATCAAGCTGAGATTTTTATAGTGGTTGTTTTAATGGATTTTTCAATTAGGTTGTTCTGCAATTTCTAAGTCTATGTCATGTTGTTGAGTTTTAACAGAAGATGAACTTTAGAGGAGAATTTCAAGAATCCATCCATTTCTCAGTTTTCCTAAGTTGTCATTCATCATTAATATATTTTCATTACATTTGAATCCTTTACATTGCTGGATCAATTGCAATCTAGTTTCCCATTCTTAAATGTATTTTTTGAAACCAAACAACTTGCTGATAAAAATTATTATATTGATTTAATGAGAAGAACTTTGGGACATCATTTCTATTATCAGAAACTAATACTAGTTGTTAAATAGAATAGACATTAAGAGACTTAAGAGAAGTCTTTTTTTTTGTAAAATTTATCATATGATTACAGGTGGAATTGAATTCCACTCTATGTTGCACCTAGCCTACAGTGCCTTATACAGAGTAAGCTCTTACAGCTTACAGTAGCTTTGGTATTTCATATGTTCCCAACAGGAGTTTTTCAGAGATGTAATGTTCTATTCTAATCACATCTAAGATATTTCCTTTAAACAAGATATTAAATTTGACCATGTCTAGAAATCATATTTTATAAGTAAGAAATCTACAGTTACCATACCCAGGACTCCAATTTTATCACCAAATTTACATTTTATTTCCAACAACTACTTCAAATACTAGGATTTATCATTTATTATCCAATTATTTATTAATAAATTTCCCATTTCATTGGCCAAATAACATGTAGAGATCAGATAAGCTAAATTTACTTGGTATAAACAGCTATTGCATTTAGCAGGGGAAAAAATCTGTTGGTAGTTACATATCATGCTGATTGAGCATTTTGTGTCTCGACTAGTTGCGTTGTTATGTCTATATAATTATCCTGGTGTACATATTTTCTTTTTTATATGTTATTTATTTTTTTATTTTTTTATTGATTAATTTTTTTTTTTTTTAGTTTTCAACAATCACTTCCATAATCTTTTGAGTTTTAAATTTCCTCTCCTTCCCTCCCCATCTCCTTCCACAAGACTGCATACAATCTGATATAGGCTCTACATATATTGTATATATTTTCAGAAAGTGTGTTGTGGTATTGCCTTTTAAACAAAACCAAGATAGCATTAATAGTAAAAATGATTTTTAAAAGAATTAATTTTCTTTGCTAGAAAACTCGTCTCAGGGATTGCCACAAGCAAGCTGAGCTAATGTTAGTTCCATCAGATATTTTATAAATGGCAATGTAAGTTACTTGTACAAAATGTCAAAATAATCTGGCTAAAAAGTGAAAAATCATTTTGGATAAACTGGCATTTTTTTCCTATATAACACAAAATAGATATTTGAAGATACTGAATAATTTAATTTCTACATAATGTTCTGTTGTGGTGATTCAGATCAAGTCATTACCCCCAAAATGAGTCTGATCACTTTTTTTGCTTGTCAGCTGATTCCAGGCAAATGATAACCATGAGTCATGTATTAATCTAGTCAAATGTTCAGAATCAGGGACTTTAGTAACTGTGATCATACTAGCCAATGACTCTAGCTCATTAGCAGAAATGCTATCCATTGGTAGATGTAGGGGCAACATGGCTGAATGCTTTACTTTTCTTCTATCTTTTGTATGTATTTGTCACATGTCACTAATCTAACAGTTAAAAATAAGAACAGTCTTAAAATTCACCCTTCCAGCATTAAATATTTTTTTCAGAATCATAAAAATGGGATGACTCTTATAGACCAAAGTATACCAGATTAGCCGGGAAAATAAGCAAATAAGCATTTATTAAACACTTACTATATGCTAGGCACTGTGCTAAGTGCCTTATATGTATAATCTTATTTGATCCTCACAACAAACCTGGGATATCAGTGCTATTATTAGCCCCATTTTTTCGTTGTAATTAGCCCAGGGTCATGCCAGCAAGGCTAAGGCTAAATTGGAACTCAACAGTTCCAGGCAGTGTTCTATCTACTGCCACCTCCTAGCTAGTTGGGCATCCTGCTGAGCATTTCACCAACCCATTATTCTTTTCTGTGAAAATGAGTAGTAGCTAGGAATTATGCCGTCCACAATGGGCTAAGCATATTAACCATAAGAGAAACAGAAATTCTCTAGCTAGTTAATGAGGGCAGGACTGAGGAAGAAAAGAGCAGAGAAAGAAGTGAATTGACATTGTGACAGCCCAATGACTTGAACTTTTTTTTCCCCTTTTCATCCTGTTTTATCATTATATGGAAGCAGACATATACTCCATTATTTCTAGCAGATAATAGAATCATGCTAAAATGTAAACTATTCTATGGACCTAGGTTATGTTTCCTTACTTCCTACATGAGAGTATCATGTGATATTTGGCAACAAAATTTCTTTTCTTGGGGCGGGGCAAGGCTCAATAAAAAATTGAGCCTTAAGCCTGTAAAAATTATACAATGCCAAGGCAAAATTCCTATGTTACTATAAGAGTTTTCCTTTTATGAATCTTAAGTATTATTCAATTTAATGTATTTTGAGACTAAGTTTCATTTCTTGGCTTTGTTTTTTAATTTTGTATTCCTTAAAATGTTTAAAATTAAATTGTTTCCCCATGAACTTTATTCCTGTTAGCATGATGATCATAAGGGAAACATCAATTACGCCAAGTTCATTGGACAGTGCAAACCAGTTCCTTCTTTTTAGAGCTTTTCCAAGTGTCCATACCAGGTCAAGGTGTTCCCTAATGTTATAGCAGTGTAATCCATTATCTTTGAGGAAGTAATTCTGATGAAGGGTTTAATGAATTCTTAAACTTTTTCCTACTAAGTGCCATGTGAAACATAAGGCAAGAACTGTTCATAGCCTGATTGCATTCTACAGTATGGGAACTAACTAACCATAACAGCTGTGAAGAATTTTCTTCCAGTTAACAATGATAATACAAGTGAGAATATAGTTTGGTGTGTAAATTTCAGTCACAGAAGAAGTGTCATTTTTTTCAGGCCTTTAAATTAATCTGAAGAATGGATTCAGAAACAATTCTCATTGTTTAGTATTTTTTAAATTGAAATGAGTTCTAGGAACTATGTGATTCTCCAATTCACATGTAGTACTTTGATTTTTGAGAAAGGAAAGATAGAGAAGAAATTCGAAATAAAAAATTTTAAATAACCTATAAGTCAAAGTCAAGAAGATAATTTTAAATGAAGTGAAGCAGTCAATTTAAGTAGCTCTGTCACATTAGAATTTGTTTTAGTTGCAAAGAGAGAAATAATTACATCTAAATAATTTTAAGAATGTCAAGATATTTAATGATGATCTAATAAAATCCATTTGCTGCTTTTGCTAATTTACTTTAGTGATGGATAGTTTTCTTACTTTAAGTCTCAAATTGCCTCTTAAAAATATACAAACTCTGTAGTTCCTAAGAAGGTGATGTGTCATTTACTGTTGGGGTGCCATGTTTCTTCTGTTCAAGTAGTCTCTTTTACTTACTATCTTTGTTTTCCAAAAATGTATTTGTAAGCATATTCATCTAATGTGATATTATAGAGTCAAAACATGAAAGGTAAGTAGCAACATATAGTTTTACAATTCAGTAGTTCAATAATTCTGTGAATTTTCCTTGTGCTTAAATATAAACTATCTCAATTTTCTCTGACTGCAGAAGCAAGTAATAGTAGCCATGAATCTCGTATTGGTCTAGCTGAGGGTTTGGAATCAGAGAAGAAGACAGTTATACCTCTTGTGATCGTATCAGCCCTGACTTTTATCTGTCTAGTGGTTCTAGTGGGTATTCTCATCTATTGGAGGTAAGTTTGATTTTTCAGACTGCACATAGGTCAGATTTTGTCCTGATTAGTGAAATAATGATTGTTATTATGGCATGCTCCTTAAGCAGATATGAAAGGTTTTTTAAAGTAGATTTTCTCAGAACTTTAATTATTTCTTGGAGTAGTCATGAACAAGCTGCCATCTTGTGTACATAAAGATTTAATGAAGGGGATGATTGATTTCCATAATTAAGGCAAGAAGATAAAGGTAAAATTAAAAAGCTTTGTTTCTGGTTGTTTTAGATAAATTATTTTGACAGCTATAATTTCATGTTGACAAGTAACAAACAAGAGAATGTCATTCTTGAATTTATCTCAACTGGATGCTTTTGGTTTTTTTTTTTTTTTACCTTCCATGTCTTTTAAGTACATTCTTTGGAAAAATTAATAGAAATAGTAATGTATGCTTATTTAACTATAATCCCTTGCTTTGCATGAGTTTTATCCTATACCTATGAAGAACTCCTAAATTACATATCAGTTCATAGAGAAAAAAAGTATTAGTTTGCTAAAATTAAAGTGGAAGGATGACACTGAATTCAAAAGTAAAGTCTAGGGATAATTTGGTTTGGGTGTATTTTTTTTCTTTATGGAATGTCTTTAAAAGGAAAGATGGTAAACTCCATTATATCCTATTATAATTCTTAAGGATAAATCATATTTTAGATTTTGTATGCTATAAAGAGAGATACAGATGGCATAGCTCTGGGAAAACTGGGAAATATGACATGACCCATAGTGTAGGATGTGTGTGTATATATCCAAGTGTATAGTAAAACATGGCTTTGTATAGAATTTTACTATAGCTAGACTCTGAAAGATGGACATAATTCACTGACTAATAAGTTAGAACCTTTTACTCTGAAGATTTGCAATTAACTCATTCTCTTTAGCATTATTTTTCTATAGCTTTTTATTGTGACAAACCTATCCATTTCTTAGATGTTTTTCCAAAATTGCTAATCTCAATTTAATTTGTCAGATATTTATTAAATACCTTCAATATGTAAGGAGCTGTTAAGGATACAAAAGAAATAGAAGACATGCTCTCTGGCCTCAAAGTACATAAATTCCTGATTGATACATGAAATATAGAGAGATACAAGAAAATATACTATTAAACATTAAAGTGTGTGCCATAGGCAGTAAGTGATGTAGCAAGTTAAAGAAAGGAGAGATCATTTGTATTTATAGAAATCAGGAGGTTTTCAAGGAAAATGTAGAGAATTTGAGTCCAGAGAATTTAATGGGTAAGTAGGGTCAGGATAAGCAGAGAGAGAAGGTAAGGCGACATACCAGTCAGGAGAATCAGGCTCATCAAAGCCATGGAGATAGAGATGAATGTGGTATACTCGTGAGACAGTGAAGCCTGAAGCAGATTGTTCGTGTAGTGGGTATTTGGCTAGGTGAGAGCATCATTAAAGGTGAGTCTTATTTTATGCTTATTTTAAAGAGTGGAATATAAAATCCAAGAAGCAGTAAAATGCTTTCATCCTTCTCTACATGTATGAATTTTCGTCTTTGCCCATATTAACATGATGCATTATCTTCCCTCTCCACTTTAATCATTTACACAGCATGCAATGAAATACAATTACAGGGACTTTGTTTTCTTGTTATCCAAATAATTTCATGAACTTACGACTTCTGCAGATCAGAATTATAAAATCTCAGTTTTGTTAAGGAGCCTCATATACTATCAAAATCAGCCTCAAGCCCACATGTGACCCTCTAGGTCCTCAAGTGCAGCCTTTTGACTGAATCTAAACTTCAAACTTGGTTTTGGTCAAAGGGCTCCACTTGAGGACCTAGAGGGCCACATGTGGCCTTGAGGCCTCAAGTTCTTTACCCATGATCTAGACCAACTCCTAACCAAATAGTGATATCCTATAATACTCCTTAACAAGAGGTCATCATTCGTTCTTCACTTAAGGGTCCCTAATGAAGGAGAACCTGTTTACTACCTCCTCCAGAAAATCCATTTCATTTTTGAATGACTAATTTCTAAAAAAGGTATTCCTTACATGAAGGTTTAATTTGTATCTTTGCAAGTTTCACCCATAACTCCTGGTTTTTCCTTTTGGGGGAAAGAAGAAAAAGCTTAATTTTTTTTTCCCAATGTAATACCCTTCAAATACCTGGAGATAGCTTATAAATTCCCTTCTCTCAGTCTTTTCTTCTCTGGACTATACATCCTCAGTTCCCTCAGTTGATTCTCATATGACAATTGACTCAAGACCATTCACCATTGTGTTTTCTCTCCTATGTGCATTTTCCAGTTTACAATTGTCCTTCCTAAAATGTGGTATTTAGAACTGAATGTATTATTCCAGACATGAGCTGACTAAGACAGAGCTAGAACTGGTCATTCTGCTTTGTAATGCAACCTAAAATCCCATGAACTTTTGAGGCTTCTGGGTCACACTGCTGACCCATGTTAAACCAGCAGTCTGCTAAGACTGTTCTTTTTGACTTGAACTGCTTTCGTAGCTGTACCTTCACCAGCCCCTTCTGATAGGTCCTCTTTTTCTTACCCTCTGAAGTTGATTCTGTTTGAGTCTCTCATGGGTTGATTTCCCTGGTAGAATTTTAGCCTTTGTGAAGAAACTAACTTATAGAAGTTAAATGATTTAATGCTTTCCCTAAGGCCATATATGTTAGTAGCTGTCAGAGCTGGAAGCTAAGTCTCTTCACTACCAGGCCAGTGCTATTTTCATTCAGTGCTTCCTTGCTGACTTGTGCCAGTAAATCAAACCTCATGTTTCTCATACTCAAATAACCAAGGAGAAGATTAATATTTAGAGACAGGGCAACATTCTAGTAGACTAGTTTGTCTTCTGTCTTACATATTAGTGAACTTATATGCTGGAAACTTCCCTCTGTCTATGCTTTAATAGACTTATCCATTTCTGTCTTGAAATTACTTTTCCAAACAAAATAATGCCCACAACTAAAAGATACATTTAATTTCTACTCCCCTGCCCCCATGAAGATATAAGTGGTGATTTGATTTGACTTTTTTCCATATTCAAATGCTTCTTATCATGGGAAACTATGACTTGATTAAAATAAATTACATAATTTATAAAAAATTAATTGAGGGAATTTACATAAAAGTATTTCCAACAGAATTCCTTTAAATAGTAAGCTCCCATAATGCATTTGAACTAATCTGCCAAAACTGAGTTTATGTACAAAATTTTAGGAATACATCTGTTGAACAAAGTGATTTATCCATGTTGTATTATAATATGGCTCATTTAAGATAAAGCAGAATTACCCTGATTAGCCCACTTACTAAAATTGATCACATCTACACAAATCTTTGTATTTAATGCTACAAAACCAACCAAAATATTGATTTGTCTGTCAAAGCTGATTGTGATTGGACACGACCACAACTCATTTTAATGAGTTGGACAGTAGACCGCTAGACTAAATAATCCTCTTTATCAAATAGTGTTATAGAAGTACTCCATTATGAATGAATAAAGGAAGCCTACATGCAAAGCACTATGATAAGCTGCAAGAATACAAATAGAAAAGTAAGATGACCTGTGTTCTCAAGGCTCTCATATTCTAATGGAGGAGACATATTGTGTTGACATGTGGAAGGTCAGCTGAATCTCAAATAGAGTGGTCCCATGATCCCTTAGGCAAAGGATCTTTGCCTAGAAGCAAAGCCTCTTCTTTAATGTCATTTTGACTGATAAAATCATTAGTTTCTTATATTAAACTATTGGACATTGCCAAGGACTTTGGTGGCAAGACCTTTCTTTTCTGAGTCTTCATTACCTGTTGCTGTAGCATCGGCAGGAACAGTTACCAGGCTATATCTTCATAGGGGGTGCTTCCCAGGTTAATGGATGAAGGCAGTAGGCCAAAAGAATTGTGATTTCTAGGGCTCTTGGATTCCAAGTCCTGGGCCATCTCCATAAGAGTCTGAGGAGAGGTGGTGGTCAAGGTGGTGGTAGTGGTTTGACTTGCCTGACCCATGCCACCTCCTATCTCTCCTTCAGAGCACCTTCTGCCTTTAGCTAGGCTGACTTGCCTGTCTTGGGTATGGCAAGTGTTTGGCACATTTATGGGATGGCTGGCTCCTTCTCTACAGGAGTTGTTTTACCAGATGACTGTATACCACAGATTCTTAATCCAAAAATCATGTACTGTTAGATTTATAAGGAATTTTAGAAAGAGCCTAATCCAAATCCAGGGGCAGCTAGGTGGCACAATAGATAGCATGGTTGGTGTCAGGACCTGAGTTCAGATGTGGTCTCAGACACTTTTGTGATGTGTGACCCTGGGCAAGTCACTTAACCCTTTTGCCTCAGTTTCCTCATTTAGAAAACGAGCTGGAGAAGGAAATGGAAAACCACTCCAGTATCTTTGCCAAGAAAACCCAGAATGGGTTCACAAAGAGTTGGACACAACTGAAATGACTGAACAAAACAATCCAAATTTCATCATCCACTCATGAGGAAACTAAGAGAGATTAAATGATTGAGTGATTTGACCAGTGACACATGCTAGGACTGGAAACTGTCTCTGCCAGAAACCTCAGTCTCCTGATTCTTAGATCACTTCTCAGGACTGGAAACTAAAATTCTAATGCTTTCACTAGAAGTTTCACTAATAGTTCAACATACCCATAAAGAGAGCATTGCAAATAATATGCTTTCCTTTGCCAGTATAATTTAAATATCTTTTGGGACATAATACTCTAGATAGGCAAGACTAAGGAAGAATCTGCAGATGAATTTATATTGAGGAGATTCACAGAATTCTTTGCATTTTTTTTTTTGCCTTACAGTAAAATCGAAATGTGGTTACAGTTACTTTTCTTCTTTAGTCTTATCTTTCTTTCTTTCTCTCATTATTCCATTTTTTCAATTATGAGCATTTTTTTTGGCTGTCCATCATACCTGGAATGTTCTCCCTTCTCAATTCTGCCTGCTGCCTTCAATCGCTTCCTATAAGTC